TATCACTGGCGACTTGTGCGAGCCCAGAGTGTGCCTCGTGTGGCCCCACGACGACGCAAAGGCAAACGCATCACGCCTTGGCGCTCCACTGCATCTTGCCGAGTCACGTCAGGCGTCGCATCTCCAAAGGGAAGAAAAAAGAGTCAATTGTTCGCATTCATTAGGTAGCTAGTAATAGTGTGGTCGTGTGCCACCAACAGCAAGGGCTAGGCGCATGGGGAGGTACGTTGGGCTCCTCTCTTTGCGTGTTCTCGCAGACGCAATCTCTACATCCGTTTAGCAGGTGATGGAGAGGTTGATGCCGGCGTTGGCGTCGTTGACCTGGCGCTGGGACTGTGACGAGAAGCGTGCCTGTGTCAGCGAGAACAAGAGCGTGCGCGCGGCGCGAGGCTACTGACCTGAGCGTCGGTGCCGTCAATGTAAAAGGCATTGTCAGGTCCGCAGTTGGGGTTGTCGCAGGTGGCGCTGCGGTAAAGAGGCGCAAAAGAGATGAATGTTAAGTCTAGAGTCGACAACGATACCCATGCCATCTCGACTCACCTGGGGCCCTTGTCTCCGGGGTTAGCACCGATGAGGGTGAAGCTCATGGCACCAGTGTACTTGTGAGGGCTGATGAGCGTGTTGTCGGCCGAGGAGACGCCTCCGTTGAGGGCGAACTCGATGGAAGAGCAAGGAACACCATCCTGAGAGCATTGGACGCCCTTGGCAGCAGAGGCGATGACACCGCCAACCTCACCAAAGTCGTAAGTTCCAGTGCCGTAGTTGCCGTGGCCGGGGACTTGCATGATGGCATTGTCGCAGCCGGGTGCGCTAAAGTTGATCTGGTGACCGGCCTGGACGGCGACGGCTCCAAGAGCGAGGGTGGCGAAAGCGGCGGTGAATTGCATTTTGGCAAAGCGGTAAAGAGGTGGGTGGAGTAGAGTTGATTTGCGAGTGTAGAGTGTTGGCAGAGCAGAGAAGATTGATCTGGATGGGGAAGAAGAGATTGTCTGAATCGTGCTCAAAGGCGGGGTTTATATACCTTTTTGGTCACCCAAGGTGCTGTCCACGGCTCTACCATGCCGACGCTGAGTGCGCTACTCGAAGCATCGTGCAGAGCATCCACACTCACCGGAGCAAACGTCCTCGCGAGTGTTGCGGAGCACGTCTCAACGACTTGTCTTGCGCGCAAACGAGAAGGTTTCAAAAAGTGGAGGGACACGCGC